TTTAAAAAAGTATACAAAGTAGCTATAGCCTTTCTAGATGGTTAACTTTTAACCAAACTATTGTCTTAATTGTGTTTTTGCTTATATATTTCATTCGAATCCTGTTATGTTCACATTATACGGCAACAAAATATTAAGGCGTTTTTAAAACTTTTGGTTAATATTTATTATTATACTATTATTACACTCTCTGACTGTCAATGATGCCAGCTTAAAAAAACAAGCTTCAAACTTTTTTTTTAGTGTATTGCGTAAAAGTTTAGCTTTAAGTTTTATATGTAATAAGGTAAACTATTTTTAGTATTTGAAAATTACTTTATTTCTTCAGTTAAAAATTTCTTAATTTGTTTAAATTTATGTAATATAAATAACTTTGTGTTACATTCCAACTGATGTATTTAAACCTTTAGTAAAAAATATCTTTAAACGATATAAGTTTCTTTTTGATAAAAAAAAGTTGTACTTAGTTTGACTGCTTCATACTTTTTAAGTATAACAGGATTTCTTGTGGAATTATATCCATTAAAAAAAGAAAATTATTTCGAACTCTAGTTATAATTATACTTATTGTCGTTTGTATATTCTATGTTTACTGTTTAGTAAAACCAAATTCCAATTTAATCTTTACTTTAAAGAACGGGCAACTACGATAATATACTTTACTTTATAAAATAAACTTACTATATAAATATCTAAGAAGTATATCAAAAGGGTCAATAAGAAGTATCTTTAAGTTTAAAAGAAAGCTTATATTTAAATATTGCAACGATGACAAATTCTGTGGCTCCGATAATATATTTTTTTTATATACATCTACGCTTACACTAAATATATTCAAGCCACCATCAAAGCTTAGGGCAAACGGAGCAACGAAAGTATTGCAGTTATCATTTTATTTTTATTATAAACTTTTTCTCTCCAAAAAAACTTTTATTGATTTATTATTTTACCTATAAGTAATCGCCGAAGCGAATACCGTTACTAATATATATTTTTTAAATTTAAATCAACTTTCTAATGAGTAGAGACGATTAATTATTCTTGTAATTTTAAACCTAGTGCGTAGTCGCATCGATCCCGTTAATTCTTCAAGTAGTTTTTGATAAGAACTGGATCTGCAAATTATAATGCTTGCAGTAAAAATTTTTGGACTTTTTGAATTCTTTTATATATACTGTAACAACTATGAATAATTTATTTTTCTGAAAAGATTTTCTTTATTTTATTTAACGGAGGTCATAAAAGTTTTTTGTAGCTCTATCTTTTAACTTAATCTATTCTAATTATATAAACAATTTACTTTAAACGTAATCACTAAATTCTTCTTTGCAGCTTCATCTTAAACTTTGGTTTTTCTTAGAGTAAAGCAACTTTTGATTACTTTTATGCTCATAAGCCGATTATCCAGTCGTTCAGATTTAATCTTCATTCCATATAAATAGTCTTTATAATAAATCTAGTTTTTCTTTGGAAAAAAAAATTATACAAAATTATTGCTGTTCTCTTGTATACACTGTAAAAACTAATTAATATTTTTTTCTGTAGAAATTTTCTTTTTAACGGACTGCTTAACAAAATTTCTTAATCCCTTTTTTTCCCATTTATCCGTATCTGCGTAAAAACAGTAGTATATTATTTAAAAAGTATTGCAGATTTACTATATTTACTATACAAATTAGAGCTAGGGGTATTGCATTTTATATTATATGTTTATTTTAACTTTGATTTTATCAGAAGAGTAAAGCAACAAATTTTTATTTTTATACTTTTAAGCCAAAAGAGTAGTACAGATCTCATCTTCAATCTTATTAAGTAGTTTTAATAAGGACAGCTCTACATATAATTGCTTGCGGTAGAAACCTTAACAAGATTCTTTAGAATTTTTATACAATTTAACCTTTTTTAAAAAAAATTATTGTTCTGTAGTTTTTTTATCTTCATTTTTTTATTTATTAATTAAAACGCATTTCTCTTTTAGCAATTCCACTAAGGTTTTTTTGCAGCTTCATCTAAACTTTTTATAACAAATTAAAGTTGTCCTAATTTATAAATAGTAATTAGACTTTTTTTTATTTCCTTTTGGATTATTCTTCGAATACTCAGTAATAACGGTTTTAACATAAATCTTAAATTATTAAGTTTATTAACAGCTTTTATTCGGCCATTTACTTTTATACAATAATAAATATTTCTAAGCTTGGCCTTGTCCAGTTTTCTTTTAGTAATCCTGTTAACCCTAAGCAGATAAAATGTGAAGTTTATACAGAGGCTAAATTTTTTTAAAAAATTAAAAATTTGTAGGGGGTTTCTCCCACGGCCTTCTTTTTTACTTTTTGTTCGCAATTATATAAATTTTAGTTAAAAGAAATTTAAAACTCCCGATCTTAAATTAATTGCAAAAAAAACTAGATTTATAAAACTTTTTATAATAACTTAAACTTTTTTAATATATAAATTTATGTAAGTAAAGAGTTGGAGATGGAGAGAATTAATTTTCAAATTTTTTATTAAATTTTTTTAAACTATATGCAAATTTTATTAAAGTTATCTATAATATTAATAGTAAAATATTATTTTTTATTTTTTGTTCGCAAAATAGAACTACACATAAAAGCTTAATGCCTTCAAATAATAACTCTTTCAATATAGCGATTTTTTTGTAAGTCAAGAGTTGATGGAGAAAATTAAATTTTTAATTTTTTTTTGAAATTAAGTTATTAATAAGTAAATTTTTAAATGTTAAAACTCATCAAACGCTGGAACAAAAGAAAAGTAAAATTTGTAGGATTACTTAATAAAAAGAAATAATGGCGTCCAATTTTATTTAAAGAAAGAAAAAATTATTTTTCTTCTAGATTTTTTCTTTTTCTTTCATCAACTTGAACAAGGCAGTGGCCTCTTTTGTACGTGAAAACTCGATGCAGAAAGCTTGAATCTAAAGTTAATTTTTTTTAAAAAAAATTTATAAAATTGATAAAAAAAATTTACTGTAATGATTAAATTATTTTTAAAAGAAATATAATAAATAAAATTTACTTCAAGGATCAAATCGTCATTAAGATTGGCGTCATTTTTAATTAAAGAATTGAAAAAGTTACAACACTATAAACAAGAATATGGAATTTATAATAATAATAATAATAATAATAATAATAATAATAATAATAATAATAATAATAATAATAATAATAATAATAATAATGATAAACCAAACGAGCAAATCTGTTTTGCGCATTTTTATCTGAAATTTTCTTACAAGAAAAGATGCAGTTCGTAATGAAAATGCGAAGAAATTCAAAAGAAAATTTAGAAGAATTCGGATTTCTACAAAAAAATAAAAAAAAGTAAATTGTTAAAAAAAACTATAGTGAGTTATTATTATTTTTATTAATTAAGGTTTTATAGTAAATTGTTAAAAGTCTAAAAAAATTTATTTACTAGTTTAGAAGGTTTATAGTAAATTGTTTAAACTTTAATAAATTCGATTCTTAGTTTTACTAATTCAGATTCATAGTAAATTTTAAAAAATTTAATAATTTTAATTATTACTAATTAAGACGATTTATAATAAATTGTTATAACTTTAAATAAATTTGATTAGATTATTACTAATACATTATAATTATAGTAAATTATAAGGACTATCCTGTATTATTCAAGGAAATTATAGTAAATCGTTAAAAGTCTCTATTAATTTTTTACTAACAAAAAAATTATAGTAAATTATCAATACTTTGAATAAATCTATTCATTATTATTTAATTAAAATAATATATTAGAATGAAGTAGTTGTGTAAAATTTTATAATTAAATTTATTATAAACTTAAAAAAATTAAACTAAATATAAATAACCGAAAAATCTATAAAAAGATAAAAGTTTATAAATCTCGCTACAAACAAAAATAATTTCAAACAAAAAAAATTCAATTTTTTAATTTAATAAAAAATTTTAAATTCAAATTCAAATTCTAAAGAAATTTCTGTGTTAATTTTAATTAACATGTAATAAAATTGCTGTTAAAAGGTTGTCTATTACGCGGTTATTCTGCTGCTTATTGAAAGACAATCTACCAAATAATGCCATACGGGTTTATTCGGTAGAAGCTCATTTAAGCAATGAGAGCATTTTAATATATACTGAGGAAATAAGAGAACCGGGTATTTTTTACAAGTTTTTTCATGCCAATAATAATAAATGATGTCGAGTTACCGTTTCGGTATCAGAAAGAAGTAGCGCTAAAGCACGCGGACAATTTAAATAACATCAAACAATAATCTTCCAAGGTAGTAAAAAAAAACTAAAAATTGGAACTTTATAAACAACCGAATCACCATAGACAAGACACGTTTATAAAAAATGATTAGCAGGTTCCACGCAAAATATACTAGTGTAACTTAATAACCATCCAATAAATACTATAAATAAAATAATTTAATTTCTACCAAAAAACCTAAAAGCTACTAACTATAGTAAAATTTACCCGAGTGTTTTATTAGAGTCAAAAACTTTTAGTAGTAGTTCATAAGCAACTGAAGGATTATTTTCTATTAGTTGCGATAATTTTTCGGGAGGAATTCTGCTCAATAATAACAATAATAATAATAATCGTAATAATAATAACAATAATAAAATTTTTAATAATAGTATATAAAATAATAATATTTATAATAATACTAACTATATATATAATAAGGGGCAACGAGAGTTTCGGTACCCGTTTACACATCATTAATAATTTGTATAAAATTAATAATAATTGGCACCCGATTGCAAAAAGATATAATACCGATTGGCCAGTCCCCCAAAAATCAAACGCTTAGATGTGATTTGGCCTGAACAACTCATTATTTACTAAAAACCCACGACAAAACCAATAGGCGTATAATATTTTTACGCAACGCCCTTCATATTATTACTATTATTATACTTTATTTTATTTAAAATCTATAAGCTTTTTCTCAACTTTTATAAGTTTTTTTAAAAAAATATAAAAAAAACTGGTTCTGTATAAATCCAGCTGGAAGTTTATTAAGATATTCTTTTACTTCCTATAAAAAATATTAAAATAAATAAGAACAAAAGTAAAATACAAAAAGTTAATATTTATTTAAAATTTAACAGTTTATTAATAATTATCATGATTATAAGTAAAAAAATTCTTAAGGTCTCTAAATAAATATATTATTTATAAATTAATAAAAAATTAAAAATAATAATTATAAAAAGTAGAATAAAATTATAAAACGATTATAAATTTTATATAATTACAAGAAAATAATAATAATAGATAAAACCATAACAAACTTTATAAACAAATTATGATATTTATATTAATATAGAAAAGTTTATGAAACGAATAATAATTAAAATAATAATATAAAAAAGTTTTATAAGACGAATAATATAATATTAATGTTTATATAAAAAAGTAAAGAAAATAATAATAATTGATATAATAAAAAATATAAAAAGCGATATTTAAAATAATAATATTCATATAAAAATGTTGAAATAAATACGAATAATAATAATAACATAAAAAAGTTTTATAGTACGAATCATTGTAACAATAATAATAGTTTAAGTAAGTTTTATCATATAATAATAATCAAAAGGATAATATAAAAAAAAGTATTCTAATACGAATAATAATTATAATTTTAATAATAATAAAAAATAAGTTTATAATAGAATAATAGAAATTAAAATAATAATATAAAAAAGTTTTATCATCGAATTATGAAAATTAAAGTTTTATAATAACCAATAAAAGTTTTATAAAAAAATTAATAATAATAATAAATATAATATAAAGTTTTTATATAAAAAATAATAACTTGTAAAATTGTAATATAAAAAAAATTTATAATACGAATAATAATAATAAAAATAATAAAATATAATAGAAAAGTTTTATATTACGAATTATTGTGATTACAAATAACACAATAACAATAAAATAAAAATTTATTACAGAGTGAAAATTTAGATAATAATATTATTAAAAAGTTAATAATACGAATAATAGATTATAATAAATACAATAATTAAATACAATAATTATATTAACAAGTTCTAAAAATAAAATAATAATAATATAAAAAGTTTCATAAAACGAATAATAATAAGAAATATTTTATGATACTAGTAATAATAGTGAAAATTATAATAATAAAAAAATAATAAAAGTTTTTTTATGATAATAAAAGTGATAAGATGCTTTACTTTCTGCTCTTTAAGAGTTAACGTTCGGGAAAGCGAAGTTCTAAAAAGTTCGGGATCTGCACAAAATAATAATAATAAATTTATTATAAATATAAATATTTTATATATAATATTTTTACCGTAAACTTTTTTACATTAATAATAAATATTTACTTATTGTTATTAATAAATATAAATTTATAATAATATTTTCTTTATATATTTTATTATTATTTTAAAAGTTTATTATATTTAATATTTTTAGTATATAGTATAAAATGTTTAGAAATAAAATTTAATTATTACTATCAAAAAAAATATATATATATTTACTTAAAATTATTGTTTCTATATAAAATTTATATTTATAATAATCTTAAAAGATAGTATATTCACTTATTATGTTTAAATAAAATATATAATAATTATTATTAATAAAATATTGAAATAATATGATTATTTTATATATTTACTTAATATTGTTCTATAAAATTAATTATTAATATTTTTTATAAATTTTTACTTATTATCGTTAATAATAATAATTACATTTACTTATAATTATTAAAAATTAGTTATAATATTATTCATTTTTTTAAATATTAGTATTGAAAAAATTATTAAATAATTAATATTATTTTTATATATATTTACTTATTATTATCATTTCTAAATATAATTTTTACTTATTACTATCAATAAAAATAATCAAAAAAATGTTTTTATATAATATTATCATATATATACTTTACTTATTATTGTTATTATTTCTATATATTTTTACTAATGATTAATATTTTATATTATAATATAATCCTCTTATTATTATTATTATTAATAAAAAAATTAAAAAAAATTATTTTAAAATTGATATTATTATTATTCATAAATATTTACTTATAATTATTTTTATTTCTATATAAAATTTTTACTGTTTGGCATAAGAAAAAATTATTTTAATATATTATTATTTTTTTATATATTTTCTTCTTCTTCTTCTTCTTCTTATTATTATTTTAATATAAAATTTTCCCTATTAATAATATAATTTAGGTGTTATTAATAAAATTATTTCTAATAATAGTATTATCAAAATTTCATAATAATAAAACTTGGAAAAAAAATTTTTTTCTCCACAAAAAATTTATAAAAAAAGTTTTTCTATTTTCTTTTATATAGAAAATCTTTAAAATATTTTTTTATAATTTTTTTTAATATAAAAACTTTTTTTGTTTAATTTTTTATATATAAAAAGTTTTTTATTTTCCATTATAAAATAAAACTTTAACAAAAAATTTGATTTTTTCTACAGTAAAATTTTTTTTTTTACTTTTTTTTTTAATGAATTTTTTTTATATTTTTTCTATTATTAAAAATTTTTTCTACACTTTCTCTCTTTATAAAACAGTTCTTCTATTTTATTTCTTTGATAATTTTTTTATAATTTTTATTATAAAACTGTTTTATACGTTCTTTTATGTAATAAAAAAGTTTTTCTATTCTATTTTATAAAACTTTTAATAAATTTTTTTAGATTTTTTTCTATAATAAAACTATTTTCACACGTTTTTCACATTAGAAAAAAGTTTTTCTACTTTCTTTCACAAAAAAAAACTTTTTTATAAATTTTAATATAATTATTATAAAAAAAGATTTTTTCCAATAAAAAAAAAAGGAAAACCCGGCTGAACACTGGAAATTTCCTCGTGGCTTAACGCTCCCTTTTATAAATTTTAAATAAAAAAATAAGAGTTTTTAAAATAAATTATAAATAAAATAAAATAGAGAGTAAAAGTTTTTATAATAAAAAAAAATATAAAAAAAGTTTTAAAAAATAAATATACTATTAAAGTTTTTGTAAATAATAAAATATTACAAAATAATATAAAGAAAAAAACTTAAAATTTTTTTATGATAATATATATATATATAAAGGTTTTTATAATAAATATATAATAAAATATTATAATAATAATATAGAGAAATCCTAAAAGTTCTTCTAATAAACATATATATAAATAGTTTTATAGGATAATATAAAAAATAAAAGTTTTTATAAAAAATATATAATAAAAAATTATAAAAAAAAAACTCAAGTTTTTATAATAAAAAAATTGAATATATAAAGTTTAATAAAAAAAAATATATAATGAATATAAAAGTTTTTATACCAAAATAGAAATAAAATAGAATAGAAAGTAAAAGCTATAAAAAGTTTTTATAATAAAAAAAAGAATAAAAAGTTTTATAAAATAATAAAAGAAAAAAGTTTTTAATAGTATATAATGGAGATTTTATAAAAATATTATAAAGAAAAAAAAATTCTAAAGTTTTATAATAATAAAAATATAAAAAATTAAAGGTTTTATAAAAAATATAAAAAAAATATTAAGAATTTTTTTTTAAAGTATTTATAATAAAAAATTAATTTTTAAAAAGTTTTATAAAATATTACAAAGAATGAAAGTTTTTAAAAAAAATATGTAATAAAATAATATAAAAAAATGATATTAAAAAAATATATATAAAATAAGTTCAGAAAATAATATAGAAAATAAAAGTTTTTATGAAAATATAATAAAATATTATAAAAAAATATTATAAAATATTCTCAAGTATTTATAATAAAACGTATAGAAAAATAAGTTTTATATAAAAATAAAAAGAATAAAAGTTTTGATAAGAAGTGTGCAACAAAATATTATAAAGTATTATAAAGAAAAAAACTAAAAGATTTTTTTATAATAAAAAAAAATACAAAAAATAAAAGTTTTATACAATATATATAATGATATATACTAACATTAACATAAAAAGTAACATTAATATAAAAAGTAAAGCTTTCGGAGTTTTCTTAAATAATATAAAAAGTATATTAAAAGTTTAATAAATTAATCAAAAAATAATAATAAAAAAGTTTCTATAATAAAAATATTATTAAAAAAATTCTAAAAGTTCACATAATCAAAAATAATAAGAGTAAAAGTTTACTTACCATGAAAATATATTATAACATTAATTGATTATAAAAGTAATAAAAGTTTCTATAACAAATAAAAACAAATAATGGGGAGTGTAAAGAAAATAAAAGTTTATATTATATAAAGGGAAATATTAATAAATATTATAATTAATAAGTTTTATAATAAAAGTTTATATATAGAAAAGTGAATCATAACCATTATAAATAAATATAATGATATAAAAAAAATAAAAGTCTATAGTACATAAAAGTAATTATTATTAATTATTATTATAAACAAAGTAAAAGTTAAATAATAGGAGAGTAAATAATAAGAATTGTCTTAAAAAATAAAACTTTATATAACAAATATAAATAATTATTGAAAAGTATATCAATAATAAAAGTTTATAATATTTGAAAGTATAAATAATACAAAAGTAAATAGTAATAATATTTTATATATAAAAGTTTAATATTAAAGTATTCAATATTAATTAGTAATAATAATAATTGTGATTATATAAATAATAAAAGTTTAAATATATAAAAGTAAATATTAATAAATATACTAAATAATAATAATTTGGATTATATTAAGGTAAATAGTAAAAAGTAAATAAATAAATTATAAATAATAATTATTACAGTAAAAGGAGTATAAGTTTAGTAAATAATAATAATTATTAATAAAATAATAAAAGTTTAGAGAATATAAAAGTAGTTAATAATAATAATTATTATATATTGAAGTAAATAATATTAATAAATATTATAATTAATAATAATATATATATTTGAAGTAATAACAATAATTTATATAATATTAAGTAAATAATAAGAATTTCTTAAATTATAAATATAATAAACAAAAATTTTCATCTTTTTTAATATGAAAAGAAAAATTAAAATTTTAAATATTAAATATAAAAAAAATATTCATAATAAAGTTTCTAATAATAATAAAATATTCGTAAGTTATAATCAAAACATTAAAGATTCTTTAAAAATAATAATAAATTTTCTTAAAATTGATAATAAATAAAAGTTTTCACATTTTTATTATCATAAAAAGTAAATAAAATATTTATAAGTAAATAATAATAATAAAGTTTTTAATAATAAAAGAGAAATAAAATATATTATATTATTTTATATAATAAACAATAAAAGTTTTTTTAAATAATAAAAGAAAAATAAAAAAGGCTTTTAATATTCCAAATAATAAACACTTCAGGATTATTGTAAAATAGTAATAATAACAAAAGTTTATGAATAAAATAAACTTCATCACAATTATATATAAAAATAATAATAAATTTATAAATGGTAAAAGTTATTAGTATATAAACTTTATTAAGAAAATAGTATATAATATAATATATTATAAATAATAAAAGATGATAAATAATTTTTTTTAATACATAAAAAAAGTCAGAAAATGAATAATGATTTAATTTCTTCTGATAAAAAAATTATTATAATAATAATTATTATATAACAACCTATATTTTTCTATAGAAAAAATTTTTAATATAATAATAAAAGGTAATAAGAAAAAAGTTGTATCTTCCTTATACAAAAGAAAACTTTTATAATAATAATAGTAACACGAACAGTAAATTATATACTAAATAGTAAATAATCATAAAAAGTATATTTTTTTATTACAAATATTTATTTTGATATAAATAAATTACAAGTTGTATAATAATAATAAAAATAATAATAACAATAAAAAGTTATGCTTTTGTAAAGTAAAATAAAAAAATTATATCAAAAAGTAAAAAGTTATAAACTGAAGAAAAAATAATATTAAGTTATTTTTTTGTTCTAAACCAAAACTTTTATAATAGTAACAATAAACCATAAGAAAAAAAGTATTATTTTTTAGTACAATTCAAAAAATATTGTATAAACTTATAAAAAAAAACTTTTACAATAAAATTATAATTTATTATTGTCTTTATTAAAATATTCATAATAATAATAATAACGAAAATATATTATAAACTTGATAATAATAATTAAAGTAATGAGTAAAAATAGTTTTTTAATATATATTAAACTTTTTAAAATATTCATAATAATAATAAAAAAAGTTTGCTTTTAGTAAAATAAATATTTTTATAATATATTTTTAACTAAGCATAAAATTTATAATAATAATAATAACAAAAATATATTTTAAATTTTAATAATAAGTAATAAAAATAAAAGTATATTATTTTTATATACAGTAAAAAAATTACTATAATATAAACTTTACTTGATATAATTATAATAAAATAATTTTATTTTATTTTACGAAATTTTTTTAATAAAAATAATAAGAAATTTTTGTTTTTCATTAATATATTATCTTGCTTTAAACATTTATAATAATAATAATAACGAACTCCTCCAAGATTGCATTTCCGATCACTTTTAGTATTCGAAAGTTCGCTTTTTAAAAAAAATTAAAAGTTAAAAGTAATAAGTAAAGTTATTAATAATAATAATAACAATAATAATAAAAAATATAATAATAATTTGCCGAGAAAATAAGAATTTTACAAAACTTTACTAATTGTAATTATTATTCAATAATAAATAAAATATAAAAAATAACTACTATTTATTTATTATAACAATAAAATAATATTTTCATATTTATTTATAATATACAAAAATTTACTTTATTATAAATATTTATATTAATAAATAATTTTTCTATAATACTTTTTTTATATATATAAATATCAAAAGTTTTAACTACTTGTTTATAAATATTGAAAAATTATTACTTTTTATATAAAAAATTAAAAGATATAATATTTTCTTATAAAAAATACCAATAAATATTGTATTTTTTTACAACTTTTTATATATAATTTGTAATTTTTTTATACTTGAATTTACTTTATATTAATTTAAATTAATCATAATTTTATTTACATATCAAAAATTTGCTACAACAAATTTATATTATTTTTATTTCTTATTGAATATTTTATTACATCTATAAATTTTATTTTTGCCCTTACTTTTAATAAATTTTCATAACAATAAATCACTTACTACTTATAACCTTTTTTATTGGAGATTATTAAATATTGCGCACTTTTTTAATGCTATATTCCTTCCTTAAAAAAATTGAACGAACACCACGTGTTTCTCGTTCGTGATTATTCCAAAAACAATGGACTTAAGTCACCGGCAAACCATGTGGGACGGCCTTTTGCTTGGATGTTAGTTATATCAACATTTGTTTATTGTTTAAGCTCGTCCAATAAAAAACGTGAGAAAAATTGATTGGCTAAAATGCCCTCACCAATGAAAAGCAAGAAAATAGTAGTTTCCTTTATTGTTTTAGATAGATTAATACTTTTTTTTTAATTTTGTTACATTTTATTTCGTTTTAAACTATTTATTTATTTATTTTATTCACAAATTCAGCAAACCTTTTTTTTTATTTTGTTTTACAGAAAAATTAAAGAAAAACAAAATTTTGATTATTATTTAATTTCTCGTTATAAATCTTTTATAAATCAATAATAATTCAAATTTTAATTTAATATAGAAGTTAAAAAACATAAATATTATGAAACTACAAAAAAAGGTGTGCGGTTCAACTTTTTATATACTATAAATCTTGCAAAAGAGGGGTGTCACAAATTTATAAATTAGAAAATTGTTAGAAAAGTATATAAACTATGTAAAATAAAAAAGGTTACTTAAACTTTTTATAAATAATAAAAATATTTAATAAACTTTACAAACTAACAAAATTAATTAATGCAAAAAGAAAAACAAATTAAATTTATTTTTAATTAGAACAAATCAATTATAGAATATTCAACTCGAACAAAAATTCCATGAAAAAGTAAAAAGGAAAAAAAAACCACAAAAATATTTAAAAGTATATAAAATTTATTTTAATAAAAAATTAATTTTTAAAATAAATTGATGCGATCAATTATAATATAATCAACACAAACAAAAATTTTTATAAATAAACTAAAGTTTTAATGAAAATTCAAAAAAAAAATTTATGAAATTTATAAATTACAAAAAAATTATAAAAAAGTTATTAAATAGAATAATCGGATATAATTTATTAAAGCAAATTAATTATAAAATAATCAACACAAAGAAAAGTATTTAAAAAAACAAAAAAGTTTTAATAAAACTACATAAAATATTAAAAAGTATATGAAGTTTATAAGTATTAGAAATTTATTATAAAAAAGTTAATATAAATTAAATTATTGCAATATATTATAAAAAATTTTAATAAATTTATATAAAAGATTAAAAAAGTATTTAAATGTATAACTTAAAAAAAAACAATAAAAAAAATATTATGAAAATTAGAATTAAGAAAATTAATTATAAAATAAACCACAAAAATATTATTAAAAACTAAAAAGTTTTAAAAGATTTAAGTATTTTTTAAAAATTGGATTGTACATAATAAAAAAGTAATTTAAAATTAATAAAATATATAAAAAATTACAAATTAATTAATAAAAAGTTGAAAGAAATTGAATTTCTTACACAGGTAAAAGTATTTTAGATTAAATTAAAGCAAATAATTTAAAAAATTGTTCAACAAGAACAAAATTTTATGATAAAATTATAAAAATTTTAAAAAACCTTGTTTTCCCCAAAATTATATTTTCTTTAACGTAATTATTTAAATCTTCAGAATCTTTAAAGTATAATTCATATAATCTCTAGAAAAAATATCTGCATAAGTAAAATTAATTGATCTTATCTTTTCTTGTAAAGAGATATAGTTATAGTACATTATTTTTATAAAAAGTAAGCATTCTATATATTTAATAAAATAATGTAAAAAAATTTATTTTCAACCAAAAAGATTTTGTAAATAACAAAAGTATATTTAACGAGAATATATAAAAAGTTTAATTTTTATAGATTAATTGAATATGCATATAAAATTGAACTAAATAGTTAAAGAATTAAAAGAAAGTTAAAAAAATTATTTCAAAAAAATACATTAAAATAAAAAAAAAATTAATAACCAGAAAATATTCTGCAATATCAAGATTTCTTTATATAATAAAAATTTATACTTAAAAGTTAAGGTTAAAAGTTAAGGTTTTGTTAATAATTTTGATTAAAAAATATTTTCAGTACAACAAAAATTATAGTGATAATATATATTTTATACTTTTCTAGCGGAACAAAAGTTGGTCAACTCCTTAATTAAATCAGCAGAAGGACGCGAATAGAAAGTAATTCAGAAATTATTTTATTATTATCATTATTATTAGTGGTAGCTGTTGTAGTTGTATTGTTATTGATATTATTAATAGTATCAATATTAGATGAGTTTGCATCATTGTTGTTATTGTTATTATTATTTAGACTGTCAGAAATAGTAGTAACAGTTTCTAAATAGTTTAAAACTTGAGAGGGAGAATAATTTAAAAAGTGTTTCAAACTCGAATCAAGAAAAAAAAGAATAAATAATTTTTCAATGTCTATTGAAAATTAAAAACAGTCAATTGTATTTTTTAAAGATTTTAAAAATTAAAAAATTAAATAACTTGATTTCGACTGTTGATAAAGTTGAAGAATCACATATAAAAAGGGATGTTGCTTTATATTAGATATATCATATAAATAATAAAGTATAAGCAAAGCGCATAAACGGGACAATATTGAAAGAGAAAACTCTTTATTTTCATCAAGAAGGTAGCTCTATAAGAAAAAAATATATTATTTAAACTAATAAAAAGGAGGTAAAAAATTTGTAAGACACCAAAGTTAAGGATAAATCCAGTAAAGTATTATTATTAAATTTCTTTTTAAATTCATTGACTAAATTTTTAAACTTTCCTCCTTCGTTAGAAATTAAAAAGTTGGTTATAAATTTGTTTAGAGACATTTTTTTAGTAGAAAATAAATATATTCATAGAGAGAGGGCATGAAACTTGTAGAACTGCAAGTTAATGAAACGGTATATGAAGTTCTTCTGAAGCGTAGAAGCGAATTGCATGCACTAATACGCTGCGGCGATAAAAGTATGAAGTAAAATTCCCGTCGTTTAGTAGTAACTAAAAACTTTTTTAATACATGAGTTTTATGTAAACTGTGTTTGATTAGAAAATAAAAGGTTTAAATGGAAAGAAGAAAATTATTATTTTCAAAGTAAGTGTTATTTATATAATTAAAAAGAATGTCAAGTAAATAAGTTTAGAATTATAAAAGAAAACTACTAAGCATTTTCTTAGTAAAAGTTATTTTTATGGTTAAAAAGAATAATAAGGAAAAAAATTTGTATGTAAAACAAAATAAGTTAATTATTATTTTCAATGTATAAGTTATTTTTATGAATAGAAGTATTAAGTAAAAAGTTTAGCAAGTAAAAAGGAAAGTTGATTATTCTTATCATTGTAAATTATTTTTAAAAATAGAAAGGAGTAAAAAGTTTAGCATGTAAAAAAGAAAATTAATATTTATTTATTAATGAAAAGCTATTTTTATAAGTAGAGAAAGAATATTTAGTAAAAAGTTTAGTATGCTTATAGGGGAATTAACTATTAATTCAAGTCATACAAAAGTTAATTTATGGTTAAAAAGAGTAATAGGTGGAATGTTAATACTAAAGTTTTAGTATAATAATAAAGAGTATTTACAGCAAATTAATTTTTTTTTTCCAAATAGTAAAGTTGTTGCACTTTTAACTTTTATTTAATAATAAAAAGTATGCAGCGCTCCCTTAACTATTTCCTAGTTTTCGTAGTGAAATAAGCTGATAATGATCTATTTAAATTTCTTAATGCTCTATGCCACTAAATTATTTCTGGAGAAATTCAGTAGTTATTGAAGTTGTTTTGATGAAACTGTTTAGTAATAAACTTTTAAAAACCATTTACGGCTGGTTATTAAAAGTGGCTAGAGAGAATTTAGAATTCTTTAAAGCCATATAAATAATAATTTTTGACTTGACAAAAATTATTGACTAAAAAAAAACATTTTCGTTTTATAAAGTATAAAAACCTAACAATAATTTTTTGTAATATACAAAAAATAATATAAATACGCCTTTAAAAAGTCATATAAGGTATTTAAAAAAAATGTTTAATACTTGCGTAAGCAAAGACCAAATAGATTTTTTTAATAATAATATAAACAGTATTTCTTTTCATAAACTATATAATAAGCAATATAAATAGGCTATTACTGAATGTTGAAAGCAATTTTTTTTCTAACTATAGAAAGCATGTAAGGTCATAATAATGTTACTGAACTTAAATTAAAACAAAAAAAGGATAACTTTTCTTAGAAGGTTTTTAATAAGTAATTTTATAAATCCTAGTAATAGGTAATATTAATAAGCTATTACTGAATCGAAAAAACAATACTAAAAAATTTTTTTAAAAAAATTTATATAATTTTTCAACTGTTTACAATATTTCTTTATTTCTAGTTTTATGTAACAAACTACAATTCTAAGATTATAGTGTTTCTGTTAAATATTAATGATATCTTCATCTTTATATTAATATTATTTTAAAAATAAAACAAACGGGAATTAGTATAGCTGCAAGTAAAATAAAAAGTTTTGTTAAAAGTAAATCAGTTTTCTCTTTAGGTTCAAAGCTGAACTGTAACTTGCACGTGCTGACTTTAATACAATTACAATAAGGTAAAAAAAAAACTTTTTACCAGATAAAAAGATATTTATTTATAAAAACTTTTACAGTACAATGAAAAGTTATGCTTAACTTGAAGGCAGCCTTGTGCCTAGCGAGCTCAAGAAAACTTTTTTTCCCCTTCTTTACTTTAAAATTAAAAACGTTTTCATTAATAAAATTAATAATTTTTTTTTTTTAAAAAAAAGTTTTTTTTAATTCAATTAGAACCTTATCATGTGAAAGCCACTGCAAATTTAATTCTCTTGTAAATTCTCAATTACTTGAAGATGTCTATAAGCTTTTTAATTTCAAACTTATTTCTTTTTCTTTTGCTTATGGCTCAGGAATTTTTAAACAACTCAGTAACTTTAACAAGGAATTTATTTAGTAATAAAACTAAAATTTTAAAGTAATATCCCTTTAATTTTAATTAGGATAATATGATTGATCTCATTTTTGTAGTAAAGGATTCTTTATCTTTCCACGAAGATAATCTTAAGAGAAATTCCGAGTATTCTTTAAAAATTTATATTTTAAACTTTTCATTTATGTTTTTAGAGCTGATTACATTTTTGTTCAGAATCTATTATATAAATTTCTAAGAATAAATTATTTTTTATATACTTCAAGTCATTATTCTTTAATAATGAGAGCAGCTGGCCCAAAAAATATTGCAAATTTTCAAAAAAATTATGGAGCTTCTATTTTTTATAACACACTTGTTAGAATGAAGGACAAAGTTATTTATTTTTTGAGCTTTTTATTACTTTTTTACCTGATTGAAAGATTTGTTATTTTTATTATTTAATTTAAACTACTTTTTGTTTATTTAATTAATATTTAAAAGAAAATTTATTTTTACCTATTTTTTAAACTTAAAAACTATTTTTTTAATTATTTATTGTTCTGTTTTTTAATTTAGAATTAGTTTATCAAACAATTTATGTCTTTTTAATTTCTCCATATAATATTAAAACTTTATTTTACGTTTTTATTTAAATTTTATCTTTTTTATATATTAAAAAATTGTTGTACGTTTTATATATATTTTTTATGTAATATAAACCTTTTTTATGCGATATAATGTTATATAATAATAATTTCAATGTTCTATTTTTTTATATAATAAATTTATTTATAAATGTTTTATCTTATGATAAACTTTTTTATGCGTTTTTTATATTTTTATATAATAATAAACTTTTTTTATAGGGTAAATAATTTATTTATTTGTTATTATAAATTAAACTTTTT